CGAGTGATAGCGTTCAAGATGTCTTTACTCCCCAAATTACAATATCTCTTTGGAATGCTCCCAATAGCCCTTCCCCTCTCCTTTTTCAAAATGGTCAGCTCTGACTTAAACAAATTTATCTTGGCAGGGGGTAAGAACAGAGTGTCAGGAAAGCTAATGCAAACACCCACCAAGCAGGGAGGTCTTGCAATACCCAATGTGCAGATATATTATCATGCTACCATCTTGGCTACTGCCTTTCCCACATTTCTACAAATACCACAACCACAATGGGTCTCCATGGAAAAGGCGGCCGTAAAACCCTACGAGATTGCCCACCTACTGTGGCTAGCCAAACAGCACCACCCCAAACTGCTTTCCCCCTCTCCGTACATAACCCTACTCATACGGACCTGGGAAAAATATAGACACCAATAAGGGCACTGACCTACTGCATTCCCACCTTACAATGCGCCACCATGGCATGACTGTGATATAACCCACTTATGCCACCTAAACCAACAGGGCTCCCTTCTCAACCTACTTGCATTGATGCACAAATATGCTCTACCTCCCATCTCAGCATACTCCTACATGCAACTTAGATGATTCCTTCGTAAGAATCACTTAATAAACTTACCCGACTCACATAAACTCAGAAAACACAGAGTGGGAATGAACGTGTATCAAAGGGTTACCACCTAAACATTGTAAACCAATCTCCATGTGTTATAGATTATCAGACTTTTTCGGAATCGAACCTGGCCAAACTCTGGGAGATCAACCTGGGGTGCTCTATTACTCCCAAATGGTGGGATTCCATAGTCAATGCATCAACTTGATTAATTAAATCCTCCACGCTACTAGAACAGCAAAGAAAGGTGCTGTACAGGTGGTACCTAGTGTCGACTAGGCTACAGACTATCTTCCCAAACATGCATGCTTCTTGCTGGCAATGGCCAAATGCAGAGGGAACCATGCTACATATCTGGTGGCTCTGCTCCTCATTAGCACCCTTTTTGGGAAGCAGTTAAAAAATGAATAAAAGATACCACGGGCTGCACCTTAAACCACACAGCCTTAACGTATCTCCTACTGGAGCTCTCTAATTCGATCCCCAAGAAAAGGCGAAAGCTGATCACACATATTATTCTCACAGCTCAAAAACTTATAACGAGGAAATGGAAAACTACCTCGATACCATCCATACATCAGCTAAAGGCTGACATCGATGTACAGAAACACGACTTACATCCATATTCCCCCCAATAAACTAACCAGGGAAACATGGA